TAACCACAATCAAATGGTTCGTAACTGGAAGTACCTTCGCCCTTACGAGGTCATTGAATTTTTGTCCCATATAGGATCACCTCGTTTGTTGCCTCCTCCCCTACAATTTCCCCATAATCCAGCTGACTAGTAAAACGTACAGAGTACGGTTTCTAATAGCAACTTTAACAACCAGCCCTCCCTCTGAATAGAGCATGCTTATATTCCCGGAANCTCCTCTACCTTTTACAAATGATCAAAGACGACTTTCACAGTTCCAATTGAAAAATCTTCTTTTACATCAAGCTCATACACTGACTTATTGGAGTAATCCTTCTTTCATTCATCACTTTGATTCCTCAAATCGAGTTCAAAATCGGATAAAATCACCCACGTAGGGATTTCGAGCAGGTTGGAACCGTGGAACCGTCTGGGTGGTGCGAAAGAGAATATTTGGGATTTTTTTCACTTCGAAATAAGCACGGTAGCTTATACCGGCTACCCTGATACATGAAAGATTTTGGAGACCCGAAAATGGCAGCGCCTCTTGGGGAAGAACGTGTAGGGGGGAAGGAAGCTGAAAATTATAAATACTTTGACTTCTTGGAACTCGGCTAATACTCGATCACAACATCAAATTTCAGAAACACGCTTTGGATAATGAGAAATCTGGAGAGATCGTGAGAGTACAATACGATACAGGGCAAAATGAGCTGGTCACAATAGGCTCCGAAGTGGAAATCATAAAGGTGATGCCTTTGAAACCGTCTGGCTAAAGTAATATTATCTCTTGTATAAGGGAATTGAGCCTATTCATCCATGATCGAAAATCTCTGATGACGAAGAGGGCAATCCAAATCATTGTTTGGCCCGTTGACATTTTAATGCTACTTCAACGCAATTCAACTATATCCATGTGGAAGTCGGAGTTGCACCCGAAACTGTACCGTAACCCAGGACCCCAGGTTGTAGGAGGGTATTTGGGCTGAATGGACTTTGCGAACTTCAGAATTTTCAAGAATTACCTAAAAGGGAAAGCCTTCTCAGAGCCACTTTTGGGAATACTCTCGACGACACATTCATATCCACCTCTTCGACAATTTTACCTACACCATTACACCCCTGGCCCAAAGCTTTAAACAATGTCGCCTACTCCCATCGGCCTGGTCTTATTGCCTTCAATTCCCCGATTTGTTTCAGACTTTCTCGAAAGTAGGCTCAAGTTCTGGTGATGTGAAAACGTCTCAAAGCAAGATGGGAGCTGCAAAACAAAAAGGGGTAGGTGGAATAGATAGACGGTCCATATTTTTCATGAATTTTATCGAAGGACACATTTCAGAAAACTGGGCCCCATTGACCAACAGAGAGGAGCTCGTGTTGCTGTCCGGATTTTTTTGCAGATTCAATCAAATTCATTCACAACTTACTCAAAAGCCGAAACGTTCATTAATGTGTGTTGTAGTCATTATAAAGTAGTGGAAGCCATTCAAACGATGTTGATCGCACACATGCCACCCCACGAGACAACTAGCTCATGCAATCAATTGAAAGATAGCGCGGAACGAGACAACTATCTAGTGCAATTAACTGAGGGGTGGTACATGTCGAGACAACTAGCTAATGCGAATAACTAGGACAAGCGACGAAACTTTACTAAAGAATTGATACGCACCGAGTATGACGCTACACACACCCCCAATCCTCCGCAGTGTTCCTTCGATCTAGCGCGCTTTTGCCCAGTTTTAGATGCTTACTGGTCCTTTGTAAAAGTGGTTATGGTGATGGCAAGCGAAGTAATATTACTCACAGGTGACCGATGTAATAAGTTGTGAAGTGCTGGAAACAACGCCTCCCGAAGGACGAGATTCTCTGCAGGACTCCATGCCCACTTCCAACACCCCAAGCTCTTTCGACACGTTCGCCTAAAACAACAACAAATTTGCGTCCAATGGGTTCCCTTGCTTTTTTTAGGCATTACTATGACCCTACAATTATATTTCGGGTAGCACTGCACATCACGAACATGGTGAGATTGCTACGGTTTATTCCTTTAATTGAAGCTTCTTCAGTAGTCGAGGTAGATGATCGCTCGATAAGATAATCAACATTCAACTTCAACTATGAAGCATAAAGTAAAGTAGAAGAGGAAAGGTAAATTGGCATGTGGGAGAGTTAAAAATCAGCAGACGTCAAGGAAGTCGCAAGAGCTGAAAAGAATCGCTCGGGTACCATCCTTTGCCGATCAATGAAAACGTGGTGATCATGAACCAATCTTAATCAATGAAATCATTGCGAATCTGGGAAGGAAACATAGGCAACATAGGCAACATGCTAGCTGTATACCAGAGGTAATCAGTACAGTAGCTCATACATTGAACAAGTACGACAATACGGTAAGTAGGATGTGGTAGAGAAGGAGTAAAGCAGGCTTTTTACCAAATGAATTGATGCCAAAGTACCGATTGATCCCCTGATCACGCTGGATGCCCGATCACATATCGGCTGTCTGCTCCTTCCCCCTTCCTCTCCACCCCGAAATTTGGATAAAATCGATCGGACAAGCCGATAAATCGATAATTCGATACAATAGGTAGCACGACAAGTATTTTAAAGAATAGAAAGATATTTATGCCTGAAATGCACTGAAACAAGTGACCTCAGAAACTGTACGGCTGTCGGTAGATTGTGAACCTACAACTGGATAACCAGATGTGTCATAAGGCGGCACAAGGTCCCTGCTTCTAGCCATTCACAACTACCAAACTCGTCATGCCAATGTTGCTCCAATTATCCCTAATCCAGCATTTACTTTTCCTACCTACGCTATTTCATGACAGAGAAGATACTCTTTTATTAAACTAAACCTTAGGATAAATTGAAGCTGTTCCAATCTGTAAGGTTGTGCGGAAAGTATCTGCCAAAAATTTTGCAATAGTTCAGATTTTTTTCAGGTATTTTTTGGAAGCTCCCATAGGATTCCCACGTGAGAGCACTACCAACGTTCACACACATTGCATGAATGGATTTCTCTTGCTTGCTTATTTATGTAACCATCCATTGAGCGAACTGTTCACACGAATTCCACATGCGCTTGCCTACGAGTTCAATTTTAACCATTCCGCTGCTGGAGTCCCTTGGATTTTTTTCCAAGAGTTTGACCATGTAGCCTTTTCTAAATTGAGGGCTGGCGTGGATCCTTGGTTTTTTGAGATTTCATAGCCCAGAATACTGCTGAAGCGCCTTGAACTACATCCCTTTCCTTCACTCCCCCCCCCCCCCCCCCCCCCTCCCTGCCAGTCTCCCACCGAAAAACATAAATGTAGCCCTGAAATCCTATTTTTGCGCTTTGAATATTTACTATTCTCACGAAGTTTGTCAGAAGCATATTGGGTCCGAGCTGCTAATCGTTTATTCCAGAAAAGCTCACGTACATTCTCAATATACGTCATTTATTACAGAGAAATATGAAAATACTAATACAGATTCTGCACAATGAAAGCTTGGATAGTCTTTAAAATGAGAAATAAGGCGATAAAAAGCTAAAAGTGGTCTAGCACAGAGCAAAATCTTTAAAACTGCGGAGACGGTTCATGTCTATGTCATTAGAGACCTAAGTCGTGGAAAACAGTTTAATGCATGATATCAGTAGGGAAAGAATTATGAAAATACATCCAACACATGCGAACAGTGCCACTCTGCGATCGATATCTGAAATGGAAATCAATTGTCGTTAGATCCTCCTGATTTATGAATGCCGGAGGGGGGTCTGCTGACGTAGTCCTTCACCGCTTCTCTACGACTGCAGAGAAAGAGGCGGAACTGACAAGCCGCTACTCATCGGCACGTCTACGCACCGGCTTCTAGCCAATGAAAGCGGCCCGTCAGCCGTGCCAGCCCCGCCTACTCATTCATCAAAGGGATCAGTGGACAAGCTGTCTACAGCTACGATTCTATGTCAAAACTTACATTTTCTGCAACCTTTTGGTAGATTGTCTCTGATTGTGATGTTCATTTTTCTTCTTAAGTGATTTTCAAGACCTTCTGATATACACAGGTACTTATTTCTAACGATTCCTGGAACAAAGAACAAGAGCGAACTCAACTTTTTCTTCCTCTCAGATGAATGCTTTGTAGAGATTGGTTCAAAAACAGTGCTTACTGTTTTTGCAGATATGAGCCGGCTTGAAGTCAAAATCTTTGATGAACTCGATATCGCGGATCAGAGTGTCCTCGATAACAAGACATCCGTCTACACTACCACCTATGGTAGGTAGTTCTCCAACGACATCTTGACTGAACGCCTGACAAGAAAAGCAATCGATTAGTGTTGGAATACCGTGATCGAGTTACTGTTACCATCTGGACGCCCTGAAGTGAGCTCAAAGAAACGATAAAAGGCTGTCCTACGCTTACTCGGCCCCTTCGGACTAGATGAGGACGTAGTCATCAGGCGAACGTCAACTGCAAGTGCCAGAAACCTACCTAGGGTGGTAAACCCGTGAGCTGAGTGATACTCCACATATTCTACGGTGGTCGTGGTGGACAGCTATATAGGGCTCTCTCCTTCCTCGACCGGAAAGATCCGATGGAGTCGGACTGAGGTGGTGCCAGTTACATTGGTGGAGGGAGTGATTGAAATCTATCAAGGGAGAGCGGGGAATCGGGCCTGCGTAATATGACAACTGAGGGTTTTGGTTAGGGTTCTCAGTTCCTTGCATCCACTTCCTATTCCATTCTAAACCTTTTCCATCTCTAGCTACACAACGCTCTTGTGATGCGGTGGATTTAATAGTACGTAGCATCTAAACAGAAATTCAGAAAAAGATGAGCGGCATAGACATATCGGTACATACAATGTCTCCATAGTAGCTTTCGCAATTCAGCTGAGACAAGTCGATGACTCGTCCAGGTACAGCGCACTCTGCAAAAAACAAAAATCGGATCACGACTATCTCATTGGGTAAGGTAACCGGTGCCTTCTGACTCACCTCCCACACGTGGAACAAAGAATCGATATGAATGGAAAATATGGGTGATATTATTTATCGCCTCCGTTGATAGTTTCCTATTACCCCGAATCACAACCATGTCCGATAGCACGGGAGGATAACGTGTTTTGGTAAATATGACGCTTTCATTGAATACGATCTTCTCGAGACGTTCATTTCCAACGATACGCAATGCAGGACCTGAATTTGATTAGTTTAGGTTCAGCCCGGGCCCCAAATGTCGGCAATGTTTCCAGAGCCTCACACTTACTGTGTGGACAAGAAGTTGATTGTTAATGAAATCGCAGACTGCAGCCGACCCCTCAAGTATTGCAGTGACTTGCAGAGCATGCGCTGCAGCGTGTAATTACCGACATTCGCGAAGTATGAACGCAGTGAGTGAGTCTTACTGCACAACTTCCTCGCTTCAATGCTCAGCACGCTCCAACTGAAGTATAGTGACAGTCAAGGGAAGGGAAGGGGTAAATCCAAGTGGGTCAGGGTAATC